TTGAAGCCTTGGTTAAACCTGTTGATACTCCCAATGCTCTACCCACAGGTGAGAGCTTCACCCACAAAACACAAGAGCATGAAGCCTGTGGGTTTGGATACATTGTCGTCCGTTGTGATGGGGAAACGAAAGCTCCCGTAGTGTATAGGGGCCCTGACGCGGCTGAAAGGTTTCTAAAGTGTTTGCAGGAGGAAGAAAAAATTATTAGGAACGCACTGTATAGAGTCGCTCCAATGCGTATGACCCGAGCCGACAGGCTAGCTCACGCCTGTAGCACTAACTGTCACGTGTGTGACTCACCACTGAATGGTGATTCGGTGAGAGATCACTGCCACGTAACCGGTAAGTATAGAGGCGCGGCTCACAGCACGTGTAACCTCAAGCTTAGAATCAACCCTAAGACAATAAACATCCCCGTTGTCTTTCACAACTTGAGAGGGTACGACTCTCACTTAATCATGCAGGCCATCGCGAAAATCGATGGTAATATAACGTGCATTCCCAACAACATGGAGATACATCTCCTTCAGCTTAAACGGCCTTAGGTTCATAGATTCAGTACAATTTCTCTTGTCTTCATTAGACAGTCTGGTCAAGACCAACGATACCTTCCCTATCACCGACCGATACACAGATACCGAGACTAGACCCCTGCTTATGAGGAAGGGTGTGTACCCCTATGAGTACATGGATAGTTGGGTCAAGTTCGCCGAGACCAGACTACCCCCCATCAGAGAATTTTACAGCAATCTGACCGACTCGGAAATATCCCAAGACGATTACTCACACGCTATTAATGTATGGAATAAACTGGGTTGTAAGAACCTGGGTGACTACCACGACCTGTACTTAAGGACAGATGTACTGCTGTTAGCCGACGTGTTTGAGACGTTTAGGCGGACATGTTTCAAGCAGTATAAACTCGACCCCGCATGGTATTACACCAGCCCAGGTCTGTCGTGGGATGCCTTGCTTAAAAAGACCGGAGTTAAGTTGGAATTGCTTACTGATTACGACATGCACCTATTCATTGAGAAAGGCTTGCGAGGTGGGATCTCCATGGCAACCAAACGATACGCGAAAGCAAATAATCAATACGTTAAGGGCTACGACCCTAGCAAGCCAACCAATCACATTCTCTACCTCGACGCCAACAATCTGTACGGTTGGGCCATGAGCCAGTATCTACCCACAGGGGGATTCGAATGGGCGTCACATGAGGTCGATGTTATGAGCATCGCACCAGATTCGAATAAAGGTTATATCCTCGAGGTTGACTTGGAATACCCCAAGGCATTACACACATCACACAACAGCTACCCCCTGGCCCCCGAACGTATGAGGGTTAACCCAGACTGGATGTCTGAGTACCAACATAACTTGTTAGGTGGGCGTGTGACAGACGTTGAAAAACTCGTGCCCAACTTAATGAATAAGACCAAGTACATCGTTCACTATCGCAACCTACAGCTGTACCTGTCGTTGGGTATGAGGCTGACCAAAATACACAGGGTGCTCAGTGTTCACCCAGAGCCCCTGGATGGAGCCTTACATCAGAATGAACACAGACCTTCGAAAGCTTGCCACCAGTGACTTTGAGAAAAATCTCTATAAGCTCACTTGAACAACTCGGGTGTTCGGTAAGACTATGGAGAACCTGAGGGAAACGCGTGACCGTGAAGCTGGTTCGGGTCAAATGAGGAAGACAAGCTCAGGAGACTGATAGCCAGTCCGGCATTCAACCGTAGCAAAATATTCACCGATGACCTAGTTGCCTTACACATGAAGAAAAGCCACATAAAATTCAACCGGCCTGTTTACGTGGGGATGAGCATCCTCGATTTATCCAAACACCTGATGTACGACTTTTACTACAACGAGCTCAAGAAACAGTACGACGACAGGTGTGAAGTTCTGTACACTGACACGGATTCCCTGCTGATGGAGATTCGAACCGAGGACGTGTACGTTGACATGAAAAAACACCTCGATTTGTATGACACCAGCGACTACCCTAAGGGCCATGCCATACACAGTACGGTAAATAAAAAGGTCCTAGGTAAGATGAAGGACGAGTGTGCTGGCACGCCCATAGCCGAGTACATAGGGTTGAGGCCTAAGATGTACTCCATACTGAAGGCCGACAATGGTGAAATCCGGAAGGCTAAGGGTGTTAAGAAGTATGTGGTGAAACAACACATCAAACACGCCAGATTCAAAGGAAGCCCTGTTCAAGACCCGTACCTTTAGGCATAAAATGAACACACTTAGAAGTGATGGGCATAAGATATACGGACTGACTATAAACAAGACGTCCCTGTCACCTATGGACACTAAACGTTGGATAGCTATTGATGGGATAAACACGTACGCGTATGGGCATGAGAAAATTGAACCAAGACATGTCACGAAACCAGAGAAAGTTTGAGGCTATTTACTACAGCCCGCGTGGGTACTGGAAAGGAGCTAGTGCTGTAGATAAGCTAGCTAAAATGGCGCGAGTACCCCCGGAGGAGGCCAAAGCGTGGCTTGAAAAACAAGCCCTGTGGCAGATCTATTTACCGGCACCACGCTACGTGCCTAGAAGGAGGTTCGGTATTAACATACCTAATAGCGTTCACCAGGCAGACCTACTGTTCCTACCCCACGACAAGAGGTACAAGTATGCCTTAACCGTAGTGGACGTAGCCAGTCGCTACAAGGAAGCCGAACCCTTGACCGCGAAAGATTCGGCCCAGGTAGCCAGAGGATTCGAACGCATATACAAACGCAGTCCGCTGACGTGGCCAACAGAGCTGCAAGTTGACCCCGGACGGGAGTTCATGGGTGCCGTGTCACAACTGCTAGCCAAACACGATACAAAGGTCAGGCGTGGCACGGTCGGAGCCCATCGCAGCCAAGCCATAGTTGAGAGATTTAATAGGACTTTGGCTGAGCGATTATTCGGCCATCAGTATGCGAGGGAGATGGTAACCCCGGGAAAACGATCGACTGAATGGGTCGCGAGGTTACCCAAGGTGGTGTCGGCAATCAACCATGAAGTCACCCGGCTCACTGATAAGAAACCGGCAGACGCTATCAAACTAAAATCAATAGTTGCAGAGTCGGCTGCTCCATTGCGTGGGAAGGAGAAACAGATACCAGATAGGGCCCTAGTGAGGTATCTATACCAGCCGGGGGAACACGAGGGTGATAGCCGTAAGCGAGCCACCGATCCTATATGGTCAGTCAAAACTTACAACATAGATAAAGTGGACATCAAAGCAGACGAGCCAAACTTGTACTACTTGAGGGATGGGCCAGGTAGGGGGTTTGTGAGAGAAGAATTATTGATCGTACCGTACGGTACAGTGTTACCTCCAGCATAGCGGTGTCCCATTACTCCAGCCATGCCCCCGGTAGCTCGGCTAGGAGGTCCCCCAACTTTTGTAGTAGGGGTAATGGTAGCAAGAGCTAAGGGTCCGACCAAAGCCTTACTTGTGAAATAAGGCTTTGCAGAGGCTTTGGTTGAAAGTGATCCAGAACCGCTATCGGCCCAAACTTTTTCATAGTAGGGGTAATGGTAGCAAGAGCTAAGGGCCCGACAAAGCCTTATTTACCAAATAAGGCTTTGCAGAGGCTTTGTTGAAAGTGATCCAGAACCCCCATTGTATATACTACTACCCATGTGGGGATTCGAACCCGGTCTTCGGCGTGACGAGCCAACCTTTAACCACAAGACTACCCCACCGCCCACTTCTCACATCAGAGAAGTAAATAAGGCTTTGCAGAGGCTTTTTGTTGAAAGTGATCCAGAACCCCCATTGTATATACTACTTGGGTACAATGAGTGAAGCCCATTTCTGGTGTCCCCCGCCGTGATATTGCTGGAATATTGCTAAAAGCGGAAAAGCTAAAAACTCAGTCAGTCTGACGTGAGATATCTGGATTTAAGTGTCATACATGTGGTTTCTGACGTGAAATATCTGGTTTCATGTGTCAGACATATCGTTTCTGACGTGAAATATCTGGATTTAAGTGTCAGACATGTAGTTTCTGACGTGAGATATCTGGTTTCATGTGTCAGACATGTAGTTTCTGACGTGAGATATCTGGTTTCATGTGTCATACATGTGGTTTCTGACGTGAGATATCTGGTTTCAGGTGTCAGACATATCGTTTCTGACGTGAGATATCTGGTTTCATGTGTCAGACATGTAGTTTCTGACGTGAGATATCTGGTTTCATGTGTCATACATGTGGTTTCTGAAGTGAGATATCCGGATTCATGTGTCAGACATGTAGTTTCTGACGTGATATATCTGGTTTCATGTGTCAGACATGTAGTTTCTGACGTGAGATATCTGGTTTCATGTGTCAGACATATGGTTTTCTATCTGTGATTGCTGATTGTATTTCAAGAAATACATTGATAAAAATTAGGATGCTAGAAAGGACGAGAGCGATAACAATGTATATGTGTAATAAAGCATCAGACACCTATGATTTCCAAACCCCATTTTCATTTATATTCATATCATAATGATGTTTATTTGTATGGATATTCGTACCCTTCAGGTGCACCACAACAGGATGTACACGTGTTACGACCAACGGCGAGCAGCACGTGTTACCGCCATTACGTTTCTGTAAACTGATCTTACAGCACCACACAAGGAGTCACTTCTTTGCCATGTTTGCTTCTCTAAATAAACTGCAGTGTTTCTGGGTTTGTTTGTGGGGTTTGGGGGCGTTTAGACGTCCCACTGAATTATTTCTCGAGGGTGCATTTGTCCATATCGGAAGTAAATAGAGGACTGGATAAGTCCCCTTGCTAACACGTCAAATGTGACGTTTTGTAATACTGTTTTCCATGAATATGCATAAATATTATAATAAATGCATGAAGACTGTAACACTGGATACTTGTTATAGAACACGCCTATTATGAAAGCTGAATTAATTGTGTGCTCTGTTTGTCGCTTTAGGTAGGTATCCATATCTAACATTGCAGGTTTTACCTGTAAACCACGGGAGGTAGTTCCATTTATATATTCAAAATCCGACACTACAAACGCGACGAGATATGTAGACATGAGTGGCGTGGTCTGGTAGATGTCGGCTTGGTAACCGCCGGGCCTTCAAACAGAAATACACACCATCATGCCTGCGTGTTTTCAGAAAGCATTCACCATATGTCTATTTCAGGAGTGAGTGACTCAGAAAGTCAAAACGGGCAGTGTACCCAGATAATGACGTAGCTCGTGGTTCCCAGGAGGCATGCATCCTCGGAAACCCTTTCTGCTGGCACCAGTCGTCTTAAGACATTCCATACCTCTGATTCAGCACTGGCGGCGCTACCAAACTAGGACAACAATCACCAACCGACTGACGTATATTGTTCATCAATGCCAGCAACATCTAAGCTAACTATCACTGGCTTGACACTCGTTGTCATGGACATGAGTGATTCCCATGAAACATGTTTTTATCGTCTCCCTCACCATGAAATCGCACATTACACTGCTGGAACACTGATCTATTTGTCTGTTTTGAGACAAAACGTGGGCCTCTGTTCACAGTTATAAAAAAAACCTGGCCACGTGATCGACTTTGTTAGTATCTATCAACGGTAAACCCAGGCCACACCTTCATAATTGTAAGTAAGTAAGATGTAGTGAGTAAGATTTTAAGTCACATTGGAAATATTTTAGCCATATCGTGAAAAAATCTATTAAGGTTAACACGTGTTTACATCTGTAAGTACCATCACAGGTAAACCCGGTCACGTGTTTACATCTGTAAGTACCATCACAGGTAAACGCCGGTCACGTGTTTACATCTGTAGGTACCATCACAGGTAAACCCCGGTCACGTGTTTACATATGTAAGTGCCATCACAGGTAAACACTGGCTAGGTGTTTACCTCTGTAAGTACTCATAACAGGTAAACACTGGCTAGGTGTTTACATCTGTAAGTACCATCACACGTAAACCCTGGCCACGTGTTTACATCTGTAAGTAGTACTAAGTACCATCACAGGTGAACCCTGGCCACGTGTTTACCTCTGTAAGTAGTACTAAGTACCATCACAGGTAAACCCTGGTCACGTGTTTACATCTGTAAGTACCATCACAGGTAAACGCTGGCCACGTGTTTACATCTGTAAGTAGTACTAAGTACCATCACAGGTAAACCCTGGCCACGTGTTTACATCTGTAAGTAGTACTAAGTACCATCACAGGTGAACCCTGGTCACGTGTTTACCTCTGTAAGTAGTACTAAGTACCATCACAGGTAAACCCTGGTCACGTGTTTACATCTGTAAATACCATCACAGGTAAACGCTGGCCGCGTGTTTACATCTGTAAGTAGTACTAAGTACCATCACAGATAAACCCTGGCCACGTGTTTACATCTGTAAGTAGTACTAAGTACCAACACAGGTGAACCCTGGTCACGTGTTTACCTCTGTAAGTAGTTCTAAGTACCATCACAGGTAAACCCTGGTCACGTGTTTACATCTGTAAGTACCATCACAGGTAAACCCTGGCCACTTGTTTACATCTGTAAGTAGTACTAAGTACCATCACAGGTCAACCCTGAACACGTGTTTACATCTTTAAGTAGTACTAAGTACCGTCACTGGTAAACCCTGGCCACGTGTTTACCTCTGTAAGTAGTACTAAGTACAATCACAGGTAAACCCTGGTCACGTATTTACATCTGTAAGTACCATGTTTTCATCTGTAAGTAGTACTAAGTACCATCACAGGTAAACCCTAGCCACGTGTTTTCATCTGTAAGTAGTACTAAGTACCATCACAGGTAAACCCTGGTCACGTGTTTACATCTGTAAGTAGTACTAAGTACCATCACAGGTAAACCCTGGCCACGTGTTTACATCTGTAAGTAGTACTAAGTACCATCACAGGTAAACCCTGGCCACGTGTTTACATCTGTAAGTAGTACTAAGTACCATCAAAGGTAAACCCTGAACACGTGTTTACATCTTTAAGTAGTACTAAGTACCGTCACTGGTAAACCCTGGCCACGTGTTTACCTCTGTAAGTAGTACTAAGTACCATCACAGGTAAACCCTGGCCACGTGTTTACATCTGCAAGTAGTACTAAGTACCATCACAGGTAAACCCTGGTCACGTATTTACATCTGTAAGTACCATGTTTTCATCTGTAAGTAGTACTAAGTACCATCACAGGTAAACCCTAGCCACGTGTTTTCATCTGTAAGTAGTACTAAGTACCATCACAGGTAAACCCTGGTCACGTGTTTACATCTGTAAGTAGTACTAAGTACCATCACAGGTAAACCCTGGCCACGTGTTTACATCTGTAAGTACCATCACAGGTAAACCCTGGCCACGTGTTTTCATCTGTAAGTAGTACTAAGTACCATCACAGGTAAACCCTGGTCACGTGTTTACATCTGTAAGTAGTACTTAGTACCATCACAGGTAAACCCTGGCCACGTGTTTTCATCTGTAAGTAGTACTAAGTACCGTCACTGGTAAACCCTGGCCACGTGTTTTCATCTGTAAGTAGTACTAAGTACCATCACAGGTAAACCCTGGCCACGTGTTTTTATCTGTAAGTAGTACTAAGTACCATCACAGGTAAACCCTGGCCACGTGTTTTCATCTGTAAGTAGTACTAAGTACCATCACAGGTAAACCCTGGCCACGTGTTTACATCTGTAAGAACCATCACAGGTAAACCCTGGCCACGTGTTTTCATCTGTAAGTAGTACTAAGTACCATCACAGGTAAACCCTGGTCACGTGTTTACATCTGTAAGTAGTACTAAGTACCATCACAGGTAAACCCTGGTCACGTGTTTAAACCCTGGTCACGTGTTTTCATCTGTAAGTAGTACTAAGTACCGTCACTGGTAAACCCTGGCCACGTGTTTTCATCTGTAAGTAGTACTAAGTACCATCACAGGTAAACCCTGGCCACGTGTTTTTATCTGTAAGTAGTACTAAGTACCATCACAGGTAAACCCTGGCCACGTGTTTTCATCTGTAAGTAGTACTAAGTACCATCACAGGTAAACCCTGGCCACGTGTTTTCATCTGTAAGTAGTACTAAGTACCGTCACTGGTAAACCCTGGCCACGTGTTTTCATCTGTAAGTAGTACTAAGTACCATCACAGGTAAACCCTGGCCACGTGTTTTCATCTGTAAGTAGTACTAAGTACCGTCACAGGTAAACCCTGGCCACGTGTTTTCATCTGTAAGTAGTACTAAGTACCATCACAGGTAAACCCTGGCCACGTGTTTTCATCTGTAAGTAGTACTAAGTACCATCACAGGTAAACCCTGGTCACGTGTTTTCATCTGTAAGTAGTACTAAGTACCATCACAGGTAAACCCTGGTCACGTGTTTACATCTGTAAGTAGTACTAAGTACCATCACAGGTAAACCCTGGTCACGTGTTTACATCTGTAAGTAGTACTAAGTACCATCAAAGGTAAACTCTGGCCACATGTTTACCTCTGTAACTAGTACTAAGTACCATCACAGGTAAACCCTGGCCACGTGTTTACATCTGTAAGTAGTACTAAGTACCATCACAGGTAAACCCTGGCCACGTGTTTTCATCTGTAAGTAGTACTAAGTACCATCACAGGTAAACCCTGGTCACGTGTTTTCATCTGTAAGTAGTACTAAGTACCATCACAGGTAAACCCTGGTCACGTGTTTACATCTGTAAGTAGTACTAAGTACCATCACAGGTAAACCCTGGTCACGTGTTTACATCTGTAAGTAGTACTAAGTACCATCACAGGTAAACCCTGGCCACGTGTTTACATCTGTAAGTAGTACTAAGTACCATCACAGGTAAACGCTGGTCACGTGTTTACATCTGTAAGTAGTACTAAGTACGATCACGGGTAAACCCTGGTCACATGTTTACGTTTGCAAGTGCCGTCACATATAAACCCTGGCCAGATGTCCACTTTCGAAGATATGTACATTAGTCATGTGATCTTTGATGGGCATGTTAGAACGTATGGTGATGAAGATGATGATAATTTAATGGATATACAACTTCATTATTGTGTGAATGGCGACGTTTTGACATAGATTCGGGCACGTGATGGCTGACAACGACATTAGAATCTATGTCGAAACGTCACCTTTCACATAATAAAGACGTTGTATATCCATACAATTATTGTCGCCATGTGTCACCCCTAATGTAATGCCTGCACATCCTGTAAACGAGTTAGACATTACTGTACCTGACTTCTGTTCGATTAATCGGCATGTTCGACGTAGATTTAAAGTCCGTCTTTCTCACGAGTATTATGTTAAACCTCGCCTTCAGGGCCGGTTCATCAAAACAAGGGAATGTCTTCCGGGCATCAGTTGACTCGAACTGCGTTGTCGCCAGATAACTGTATGGAGCAAATACACACGGTCAGCAGGCATTACACATTCAGATGACTCGAACTGCGTTGTCGCCAGATAACTGTATGGAGCAAATACACACGGTCAGCAGGCATTACACATTCAGATGACTCGAACTGCGTTGTCGCCAGATAACTGTATGGAGCAAATACACACGGTCAGCAGGCATTACACATTCAGATAACTCGAACTGCGTTGTCGCCAGATAACTGTATGGAGCAAATACACACGGTCAGCGGGCATTACACATTCAGATGACTCGAACTGCGTTGTCGCCAGATAACTGTATGGAGCAAATACACACGGTCAGCGGGCATTACACATTCAGATGACTCGAACTGCGTTGTCGCCAGATAACTGTATGGAGCAAATACAAACGGTCAGCAGGCATTACACATTCAGATGACTCGAACTGCGTTGTCGCCAGATAACTGTATGGAGCAAATACAAACGGTCAGCGGGCATTACACATTCAGATGACTCGAACTGCGTTGTCGCCAGATAACTGTATGGAGCAAATACAAACGGTCAGCGGGCATTACACATTCAGATGACTCGAACTGCGTTGTCGCCAGATAACTGTTTGGAGCAAATACAAACGGTCAGCGGGCATTACACATTCAGATGACTCGAACTGCGTTGTCGCCAGATAACTGTTTTGAGCAAATACAAACGGTCAGCAGGCATTACACATTCAGATGACTCGAACTGCGTTGTCGCCAGATAACTGTATGGAGCAAATACACACGGTCAGCGGGCATTACACATTCAGATGACTCGAACTGCGTTGTCGCCAGATAACTGTATGGAGCAAATACACACGGTCAGCGGGCATTACACATTCAGATGACTCGAACTGCGTTGTCGCCAGATAACTGTATGGAGCAAATACACACGGTCAGCGGGCATTACACATTCAGATGACTCGAACTGCGTTGTCGCCAGATAACTGTATGGAGCAAATACACACGGTCAGCAGGCATTACACATTCAGATGACTCGAACTGCGTTGTCGCCAGATAACTGTATGGAGCAAATACACACGGTCAGCAGGCATTACACATTCAGATGACTCGAACTGCGTTGTCGCCAGATAACTGTATGGAGCAAATACACACGGTCAGCGGGCATTACACATTCAGATGACTCGAACTGCGTTGTCGCCAGATAACTGTATGGAGCAAATACACACGGTCAGCGGGCATTACACATTCAGATGACTCGAACTGCGTTGTCGCCAGATAACTGTATGGAGCAAATACACTCGGTCAGCAGGCATTACACATTCAGATGACTCGAACTGCGTTGTCGCCAGATAACTGTATGGAGCAAATACAAACGGTCAGCAGGCATTTCACATTCAGATGACTCGAACTGCGTTGTCGCCAGATAACTGTATGGAGCAAATACACACGGTCAGCAGGCATTACACATTCAGATGACTCGAACTGCGCTGTCGCCAGATAACTGTATGGAGCAAATACACACGGTCAGCAGGCATTACACATTCAGATGACTCGAACTGCGTTGTCGCCAGATAACTGTATGGAGCAAATACACACGGTCAGCAGGCATTACACATTCAGATGACTCGAACTGCGTTGTCGCCAGATAACTGTATGGAGCAAATACACACACGGTCAGCGGGCATTACACATTCAGATGACTCGAACTGCGTTGTCGCCAGATAACTGTATGGAGCAAATACACACGGTCAGCAGGCATTACACATTCAGATGACTCGAACTGCGTTGTCGCCAGATAACTGTTTGGAGCAAATACACACGGTCAGCGGGCATTACACATTCAGATGACTCGAACTGCGTTGTCGCCAGATAACTGTATGGAGCAAATACACACGGTCAGCGGGCATTACACATTCAGATGACTCGAACTGCGTTGTCGCCAGATAACTGTTTGGAGCAAATACACACGGTCAGCAGGCATTACACATTCAGATGACTCGAACTGCGTTGTCGCCAGATAACTGTATGGAGCAAATACACACGGTCAGCGGGCATTACACATTCAGATGACTCGAACTGCGTTGTCGCCAGATAACTGTATGGAGCAAATACACTCGGTCAGCAGGCATTACACTTTCAGATGACTCGAACTGCGTTGTCGCCAGATAACTGTATGGAGCAAATACACACGGTCAGCAGGCATTACACATTCAGATGACTCGAACTGCGTTGTCGCCAGATAACTGTATGGAGCAAATACAAACGGTCAGCAGGCATTACACATTCAGATGACTCGAACTGCGTTGTCGCCAGATAACTGTAGGGAGCAAATACACACGGTCAGCAGGCATTACACATTCAGATGACTCGAACTGCGTTGTCGCCAGATAACCTGTATGGAGCAAATACACACGGTCAGCAGGCATTACACATTCAGATGACTCGAACTGCGTTGTCGCCAGATAACTGTTTTGAGCAAATACACACGGTCAGCAGGCATTACACATTCAGATGACTCGAACTGCGCTGTCGCCAGATAACTGTATGGAGCAAATACACACGGTCAGGGGCATTGCACATTCAGATGACTCGAACTGCGCTGTCGCCAGATAACTGTATGGAGCAAATACACACGGTCAGCAGGCATTACACATTCCAGATGACTCGAACTGCGTTGTCGCCAGATAACTGTATGGAGCAAATACACACGGTCAGCGGGCATTACATTCAGATGACTCGAACTGCGTTGTCGCCAGATAACTGTATGGAGCAAATACACACGGTCAGGGGCATTACACATTCAGATGACTCGAACTGCGTTGTCGCCAGATAACTGTATGGAGCAAATACACACGGTCAGCAGGCATTACATTCAGATGGCTCGAACTGCGTTGTCGCCAGATAACTGTATGGAGCAAATACACGGTCAGCGGGGCATTACACATTCAGATGACTCGAACTGCGTTGTCGCCAGATAACTGTATGGAGCAAATACACTCGGTCAGCGGGCATTACACATTCAGATGACTCGAACTGCGTTGTCGCCAGATAACTGTATGGAGCAAATACACCGGTCAGCGGGCATTACACATTCAGATGACTCGAACTGCGTTGTCGCCAGATAACTGTATGGAGCAAATACAAACGGTCAGCGGGCATTACACATTCAGATGACTCGAACTGCGTTGTCGCCAGATAACTGTATGAACAAATACAAACGGTCAGCAGGCATTACACATTCCAGATGACTCGAACTGCGTTGTCGCCAGATAACTGTATGGAGCAAATACACACGGTCAGCAGGCATTACACATTCAGATGGCTCGAACTGCGTTGTCGCCAGATAACTGTATGGAGCAAATACACACGGTCAGCAGGCATTACATTCAGATGACTCGAACTGCGTTGTCGCCAGATAACTGTATGGAACAAATACACACGGTCAGCGGGCATTACACATTCAGATGACTCGAACTGCGTTGTCGCCAGATAACTGTATGGAACAAATACACTCGGTCAGCGGGCATTACACATTCAGATGACTCGAACTGCGTTGTCGCCAGATAACTGTATGGAGCAAATACACACGGTCAGCGGGCATTACACATTCAGATGACTCGAACTGCGTTGTCGCCAGATAACTGTATGGAGCAAATACACACGGTCAGCGGGCATTACACATTCAGATGGCTCGAACTGCGTTGTCGCCAGATAACTGTATGGAGCAAATACACTCGGTCAGCGGGCATTACACATTCAGAGGACTCGAACTGCGTTGTCGCCAGAATAACTGTATGGAGCAAATACACTCGGTCAGCTCGGGCATTACACATTCAGATGACTCGAACTGCGTTGTCGCCAGATAACTGTAGGAGCAAATACAAACGGTCAGCAGGCATTTCACATTCAGATGACTCGAACTGCGTTGTCGCCAGATAACTGTATGGAACAAATACACACGGTCAGCGGGCATTACATTCAGATGACTCGAACTGCGTTGTCGCCAGATAACTGTTTTGAGCAAATACACACGGTCAGCGGGCATTACACATTCAGATGACTCGAACTGCGTTGTCGCCAGATAACTGTATGGAACAAATACACACGGTCAGCAGGCATTACACATTCAGAGGACTCGAACTGCGTTGTCGCCAGATAACTGTTTTGAGCAAATACACACGGTCAGCGGGCATTACACATTCAGATGACTCGAACTGCGTTGTCGCCAGATAACTGTATGGAGCAAATACACACACGGTCAGCGGGCATTACATTCAGATGACTCGAACTGCGTTGTCGCCAGATAACTGTTTTGAGCAAATACACACGGTCAGCAGGCATTACACATTCAGATGACTCGAACTGCGTTGTCGCCAGATAACTGTATGGAGCAAATACACACGGTCAGCGGGCATTACACATTCAGATGACTCGAACTGCGTTGTCGCCAGATAACTGTATGGAGCAAATACAAACGGTCAGCAGGCATTACACTTTCAGATGTCTCGAGCTGCGTTGTCGCCAGATAAATGTAGGGAGCAAATACACACGGTCAGCAGGCATTACACATTCAGATGACTCGAACTGCGTTGTCGCCAGATAACTGTATGGAGCAAATACACACGGTCAGCAGGCATTACACATTCAGATGACTCGAACTGCGTTGTCGCCAGATAACTGTATATGAGCAAATACACACATGGTCAGCAGGCATTACACATTCAGAGGACTCGAACTGCGTTGTCGCCAGATAAATGAAGGGAGCAAATACACACACGGTCAGCAGGCATTACACATTCAAGATGACTCGAACTGCGTTGTCGCCAGATAACTGTTTTTGAGCAAATACACACGGTCAGCAGGGCATTACACATTCTGATGACTCGAACTGCGTTAATCGCCAGATAACTGTAGGCTCCGTGGTCTTAGGAACTAACCTCAGAATTTGCAGGAACTTGGCGCTGCCTTG